ACTCGACTCCGTCGAGTGGGTGTCCTAAGAACTCTCGTGCATCTCGGTCGTTCCATTGTAGCTCCTCGCGCTCTGACCATGTATCCTCTGACTCTGATTTACCTCTCCACCTAATCAAATACCTTCTTCGACCATCCTCTTTTGCAGAAATAATATCATCACTTAAAATCATGCCAACCTTCTCCGCTATAGGTATTTTAGAAACATTTGGTAGTGGAGATAAGCTTGGGTTCTAATAAGGTGGAGTCACACGAGGCTCAAATTGAAGTGGATTTGGCGGGTTACACTCGAGATCCTCATAGGCAACCAGATCTTCTATGTTAAATGAGGGATTAATGTCAAATTCTGCAGGAAGATCCACCCCGTAAGCATTGTCGTTGATTCTCTTGATTATTTTGAATGGCCCCACACTTTTGGCATGTAACTTCTTAACAGTTCCTAGTGGGAACCGTTCCGGACGAATCTGCACCATCACTGAGTCACCAACCTCTAAGGTTTTAAATCTTTGTTTAAAATCAACAAGAAGCTTATAATTAATGTTGCTCTGCTCCATTTTGCATGCAGTTTCCTTATGTAAGTCATGCAAATGAGAATGCAAGAGACTCGGTGTGTATGATGATTGACATGATTGTGAAGTCACACAAAGTTTTAAAACGGAGGAAAATTTTTGGACGAAAATCGACACACACACATACTGCTCACAAACGCACATAAATATGAATAAAGATGGATCAGCACAAAATGAGAGGACATAAGATTTTCATGTTAAGGGAACGGGTGTAGGAGAAGCAATGAAGACGTCCTTAGCAAAAAGAATATTCCCATATGGAGTTTCAACTAGGTTCATAGATAGTCTCCTAGGGGCAGCAAGGTAATCTAGCAAAATTATCCAACTATGAGAGAGTTGGTCCTTAACAGGTAAGGACAAGAATATGTAGGACATAACAGAGGAATCATGAACATGATCAGACAATGGGTCCTGACTCACAACCATAATGGGATAGCCCAAGGAGTCACCAGCAGGTATGAGACTCAAAAGATGGGGTAGAGTGTCCAGAACAAATGTGGGCACAACAGTTAGAGAGGTGACATGAAAGTATGGGCTAATACTCTCTCTAACATTAAAGTTAGTACGAGGAATTGTGAGATAAGCCCGATCAAGATAGACACACTCTTTCAAATGTAAATCTAAAGGAGCAACTCCTACAATAGACTCCAATAAAACAAGAGGATGCTCATTTTCCAAATTAGACTCAGAATAATTCAGATTCAGATTACTATCTTCCGAATTCAATTTCAATATGCTCAAGGTCAGATCAGTTTCTTTCGGGAACAAATTAATATCATCTAAGCAGACCTTATCCAACGGGATATCCTTGATGAGATTAAGATCAAGATGAGCTAAAGTATCAATGTTCAAAGGTTCTAAATCTCCTACATTAGGGTTTAAGTTATGCAGGGAGTCTAATTCAATCACTTCATTTTCATCCTCAAAGAAGTCCTCGTCATCAATGATATCATTAGCATTCACAAAATGGAAGCACTCAGTTTCAGGTTCAAGGGACTTTTTCTTTGTAATGCATTTTTTGGTTGACACTACACTTGCAAGGTCAAAGATTGGGGAGGCCAAAGGTCGGGTAGCCTCATAATTCACATTAAATTGAAAGGTGGTAAAATCACTCATGATGTGAGGAAAATCGGGATCCACCATGCAGAGATGATGCGTGCTCAGACAAGGGGGACTGGGATGGCTAGGAGTCAACCCAAGTGGGGAGTCATGTGGGATTGATCCAACAGAAGACGAAGACCTACAGGGTGGGGCAGCAACCCTTATGCTACTAAGGGTTGGATGGTCTTGACCACAGTGATGTCCACGGTTTATCCCAACAAAAGAGGCAAGGTGGTTCCAGATGAAGATTACTAGGTGTTGGGGTAAGGGGAGGTGGAGGTGGAGAGGGAGATATTTTAAATTAAGTTATCATTTCATGTCTTTCCAATCAGAAATAGGGTATTCACCATGAGACTCTCTATGATCTTCTACCCTCATCCAAAATTGACGAGCATGACTATTTAGGCGAGCCTTTGCAATGCTCACCCGGTGGGACTCAGAAATATCACGTGATTCAAAATAATCTTCTAACTGTCTATCACATTCCTTAAAGTAGTAAGGATTCGATGAAGCATCAAAGGTGGGTAGTCGATTATGTGACTCGAAGTGAGATTGTTGAGACTTGGGCTCATGACTAGGACGATAAGCTGAGTGGGTAATCTTCCGACTAACATGATTGACCGAATGGGGCACATACCTAGAGTTAGGAGAGTCAACATGTTTCTCTTTCATGGTTTTAGTTATAGAGCCCACTAGGTTAACTAGGTCATCTAACTTCTTTTGAAGTTCTATCGGGTCCATGGGAAGCGCTAAGTGAAACCTAATGAAGATTAGATGTAAGGGACAACACATAGACACTAAGAAACTATCTTAACATTCACTAGATGTGTGCAAGAATGATGTGGACAGCAAGCATAACAGCAATTTAAACTAGGTTAAATGATGATATGCATACAACAATACATAAGAATGGTTAGGTAAGCTCCTAGGATGACTTTTAGCACAAGTAATGCATGCTAGCCATGCTCTAATACCAGATGATGCAGGAAAAAATAACAAAGATGATGTAGATAAGGATTTTGCACGCTTATTGAGTAAGAGCTAATTAATTAAAGCTTTATGATGATTCAAACAATGAAATAAAATCAAAGAGCGGTAAACACAAGCTTAGGCCAAGTTACTCGCGAAAAGTAAAAAACCACGTAATAATCAATTACTCTTGACGTTGCATACGAGATGGCTTTCAACAAGAAATCCATAATCTAACAATAAGAGTAGTGCTATGAAAGATCTCTCATACACTTCCTACTAAACACTAAGCTTTTAGCGGAGTGTTGCATGATTTATATGATTCAATTAAAGCCACAAGGATCAACGATGAAGGAATGAGAGAAGAAAAAAAATCCACCCTTTTCAAGATTAAACTTGAAACAAAGCTGTAAGGAAAAAATTCTGGAATCTGGACAGATGTTTGATGGCTGTTCTGTGTGGAGACAGCACTTAGGAACCTTCCGACCAGGTGGGACAGTAGTTGGTGGCTGCAGGAACTTTTGGACAGCACATCTCTATGTCCAGAAAACTCTGGACAGCAAGTTACTCAATCCTGGAATGCTGGACAATGTCCTGCATCAAGGGGCTTTAGCACCACCTACAAAAGCGTTGAGCATAATGGACCAACCAAGAGACAAGGGCATCATAAGCGATAGGTTGATGGGTGAAAAGGCCAGAAATGCTAGCGCCCCCACACAGAGGCAAAAATCAAGATGTTGGCCAACCACCGAATAGATTGCTTCTAGAATTGAAGGCCACAATAGGGTGGAGCTAATTTATCATGAGATGCCAATAGTTATAAAGTGATGCAGTACATCAATATGTTTTGACTATTTAGCTACTTTGGTTTAGAAATGTTGAATTTCTCATAGATTAATCACAATAAGTTAAATCATGAAACAATGCTTTCATCCTTAATTAGGATTTTCTTTCTTTCATATAAAAGGTCTTTTATATGTACTTCTATTATAATTTTTTAATATTTAAATTCTAATAAATTGAGTAAACAATTCTTGCAACATTAGCTTCAATTTTTTCATTATTTTTCTTAAAGCCTTCACATCCCAATGTATTGAGAACAAGAGCATTAACACCAACAGCTTGAGAATTCCCTGTTTGAGTATTATTATTCTATTTCTTTTGATCTTTCCTATAGAGTTTACTATTTCATTGAGTAACATATGACAAGTTAGCATCATATCAAAATGTCTATTGACTTTGCACTAATATTTTATCAATTTCTTATATATTTGTTCTTGATTACAGCAATTTCCAACAAATAATTCTTCTCCTACACTTTCTCTCTTCCCCGTATGCCCTACCTCTCTCTACATGTGGGTTCTTCCTCACATTTCAAAAAACAATTTAGTGATTCATGCAATTTTTTTAAGACTCCAACCTTCCTTCCCCATGTTCTATGGAGAAATAAATTCAAGATCCTCTCTTTACTATATAGAACAATTAAGTGAAAATATTTTTTTTGAAGCTAAGCCCATCACCCTCCTTTCTCTCTCCTAAACCACATCTCTTCATACCCTAAATCATTCATAAAATATTTCAGTAACTCCTTGAATAACTAAAATTTGAACTTAAATATTAAAATTTCATTCAAGTCCTTAATTAATTTCCAAAATTCCTTAACTGGGCAGTCAAATTCAATTCAAATTAAGGCCTCATATTCAAATGATCAAGTAACAGCATAAAGCCTCTCGTGATGTTCCACCCTTACGTAATGAGTCCATAATCCACCACACTAGTAGTAGGCATGTTGATTTCAATCCTCGCGGTAGGTATGTTGATTTAAATCCAATATCACTTTGAAGTAATTGACGTTTCGACTTTCAAGCAATCTTTAAAATTTGACTCATTCTCAGCCCTATTTTAAGAAAGCATGTTACTATGTTAGTAACTTTTCCTCTCTTTAGTATTGTGCATATATGACCCTTTCTTAATCATAATTATCATGCCAAGTACATCTTGTTTTCATTTGTCCCTTGTAAGAGCCAACTTGGAGATGTTTGTTCAAAACAAAAATATAGTTATCTAACAAGAAATAATCAATTTTACACATTTATACTTAAAAGATGAAAGCTTGAAAATAAATTATTTGTGTTAGTGTGAATTGCTAACTTGAGAGGGTTGTCTATTTCACAAAGGCCAATATCATAAATTGAGTTCTAGGTTCTAAGATCATTATTATACTATAATATGCTATAAATTATATCGTCAAAAACTAAAGGGCATGATGTAAAGGTGGAATGGGAAAATTATTCCATAAAACAAAGAAAGGAAAAAATAAATTTGCAAAATAATTCATAAAACTCAGGGAAAACAAAGATACCTTGCCATAAAGTCCACAAAAATTTGAAAAATAGTATCAACAGTCTTATCGATCAAATCTTCAAGCAAAACCTCATGATCCATTTAATTACCTGAAGAAGGATTAGATAGGTATGCACAATAAGGGTAGAATAAATTTATAATTCTTTTAAAGAAACATATAAATTTAAAATTATAACTCTAAGGTACAAACCAAGATGTAATTCATATGAGAACTATATTTTATATTCATCTGAAATGAATAGGATTCAAAGATTTTCCATACAAAAAATTTAGTAAAGAATGATGATAATGATGATTAAAGGACCAAAAAATGTGAGCAATCTAAAACCATATGTAAAAGTGAATAAAAAAACAAGTGAAAAGAAGAGGTGGTAAAAGGAGAGGTGGAGAGGAGGAGCTAATGGGCGAGCATGAGCAGTCAATGTACACAAAGAGCAAACTAAAGAACATTTCAAAAAGATAACCATTGAAATTAACAGAACTCTTAAAATTCAACACTTGAGCAAGCCAACGATGAAACATGATTTTCGTACAAAAGTCCAATGAAACAAAAAGGGACACACACACTGATAACAATGATATAACCTAACAAGCATTCAAACAAACAAATAAATATATATGTATACATATGTACATATATACACAGATGTACACACATATATACACATATATATATTTATATATATATAAACACACACACATGAAAAACTATATGTTGGGGCCTGGAACACAAAAACAAATCTTAGCCACCATTAAAATTATAAAGTCGACATCAATTAACAATGAAATTAGAATTTCAACCAATGCAAAGGTTTAAATGGTGTTTAAATGCAAATAATAAAAGCATAACCTACAAAATGTTTTACCTATGAACAAAAAAATCATAAATATGATAAAAATAGGAGCATATAGGTAAAAAAATAAAAAAAAAATCATGTACACATTCAACACTTACGAATTAAAGTTTGACTGGTGAAATTAATATAGTTGAGTCATAATTGATTACTATTTTTAATGAAAAAAAAAACATTTCACACGAGAATGTATTGTGACTTGTGATGCAAGGTATCTAAACTTGTAGGATTCAATAATGCAAATTCAATATGTGATGCACAAAATAAGCATACAACAATAACAATAAGAACAAGCATTTTTTCCACTACATAGGGTCGGCTACAATAATTTTTTTCCTCCATTGTGTCTTATTAAGAGTCGAATTCTCATTTAAATCTAATAAAAAAGTTCATTTATAATATTTCTTAACCAAATGCTTTTAGGTATACCTCTACCTTTCTTATCATAAGCCACATTTAAGACACCTACTCTCCTAACAAGATTATCAGAAGGCTGACGTTTTATGTGACCAAACTATCTAAGGTGACTCTAATCTTATATGTCATTGGAGCTACTCAAACCTGTTCATGTATATACTTATTTCTCATCCTAATTCCAAGTGTAAAGCCCCTCATTCATTTGAGCATCCGCTTCTTTGTAACACTTACCTTAATTTTATACTTCTCTTCTGATGGCCAACATTCTATGTCATAAGGCATTGCAGGCTTCACCACCATCTTATTAGATTTTTCTTTAAATTTGAGGGGTGCTTTTCTATCACACAACAAGGTTGATGCATTCATCCACTTCAACCATCCAACTTGAATTCTATTAATAATATCCCCATCTATATCACCATCAATTTGAACAATAGACTCGAGATATCTAAAATGAGCACTCTTTTTAATTACTTGATCACCCAATATCCCAATCCTCTCAGCATATCTATTACAAATAAAATTACACTCCATATATTCAATTTTAGATCCACTCAAATAAAAAACAATAGACTCTAAGTTTGACCTCCAAAATTTTAGTTTTTCATCAAGACCCTCTCTAGTCTTTCCAATAAGAAGAATATCATCAGCAAAAAACATACACTAAGGTACATCCTCCTGAAAATGACAAGTAAGAACATCCATGACTACAGCAAAAAAGATATGGGCTTAAAGTTGATCCTTGATGTAATCTAACTGAAATAAAAAATATTTAGTCAAAATACCTTGTGTTTAAACATAAGTAACGGCTCTTGTATGCATATCCTTGATGACTTGAATAAAAGCATTATTAACCCCTTTCAATGCTAGAACTCTTCAAAGCACTTTTCTTGAAACTTTATCATACGTTTTCTCTAAATTAATAAAAATCATATGTATATCCTCTTTACTCTATATATTTTTCCATCAAATATCTCAAATCTCAGATTAATTAAACCCTGGTGTTCGACAGATTTATGGAACTTGGACAAAGAAGCGTGCGAAAGGGAGAAACAAAGAAGCGCTCGAAAGGGAGAAAGATGGTTACCTTCGCAACGAGCAAGCCCCTTCGTTACTTCCGACCCAACAGGAAGAACGTCATCGAAGGTGGCGAGACTTCCGACCAAACAGAACGCGTTAACTCGTTCAAAACTCTGCCTCAACGAAGCAGAAGAAGTCGAACAGCCGGCGAAATCAAACATCGGAGAAGAGGAAAGGAAAACCTAGACAGGCCAAACCTACATACAAGAACACTTATTTTTCATCTGACAATAAGGAAAAAGCGTCAAAGGAGACAAATTTTTCATGTCAAAGGAGACAGGTTTTTCATTGAACATCCATAAATGAATTGCTTCGACAAATATTCAGAATTTAGGAACAGAATCATGATTGAGAAGGGAGGAAGAAGGAAGAGGTTACCTTCGCTAGCAAGCTTCCGTCGCAACTTCTAGACTTTGTTTTCGTCGAAGCCTTCGGGGGTAGAGGTAACGAGGGAGAAAGACAATGGTCCGACTGTTCATCGCTGCATCATCGAAGGTTTTATGAATTCGGATCGGTAAGTTTACATTTAAATAAATTTTAATAATTAGTACTAATTTTCCCAAAAAAAAAAATAGTACTAATTAGTAATTAGTTTAAAAAATTTAATATTTATGATTAAACTTGATAAAATGAAAATTATAATATCTAATTAGTTTTATAAATTATTAATTAATGATTAGTTGGGATATTATTTATACTAATTATAATATAATTATTGTAATTAGATTTGATAAAAAAAAAGTTATTAATTAAAATTATTAATATGCAATCAAATAATATATATATAAATTAATAATAAATATTTGTCAAAAATCAAAAAAAGAGAAAGCTTCACAATGGCATATCTAGGTTCCGATTCCGACCATCTTTTTTTCAACGTTAGTAATGTTATATTTTTTGTTATTTAAGTTTAAATGGTTATTGGTTATAACTAAGAACCCTATCTTCAAAAAATAAACAAGGTATGCACTTATTATAAAAGTTTTGAATATTATTCATACCTTAAAACCTAGGGGTCTCAATTCGAGTCGACGGGTCGGGTTCGGGTCGAACCCGACTTGACCCGAGCATAAACGGGTCAACCCGAATCCGACCCGTTTAGGCACCATATTATATGTTAAAATCATGTTCAAATTATGTTTTAATTTTGTTTGAACTAAGCCTAGATGATGTTCGGACCTTATTTGAACTATGTTTAAACCTTATTTAAATCAAATTTAAATCATGTTTAAACCTGTTTAAGCAAATGTTGAGCAAAGCTCAATTGTTTTTCAAACTTGACTTAACCTTAGTTTTAAAGATTAATATGATCTTTAATGTAGTTGAAATATTATAATTTTAAGTGCGAACAAGGTTCCAAACTACTATTACAAGTATGTATTTTGTTCATTTTTTTAATATAGATTTTATTTAATCTCCATCTGTTATAGCTCACAATTGATGGTGTGACTCTGCTCTGCACTTATCTTAAATAGGAGGGAGGTGACTCTACTCTGCACTTGTCTTGAAGATGTTGGAGGTAAAAGATTGGGAGTTAGAAGGTGCATCAATACATATGTATTTTGCATTCATAAGTGCATTCGTGCATCTAAAATTTTAAGCTAAACAATACTTTTATGTTTTCTTTTATACTCTTTTTCGGTATTATGAATTGAATTCCACGATGAGAAAAGAGGTTGACCTACTGAGTTATAACCTCACTTCATTGTTATATCATTTTAGGCAAAGGTAAAGATTTTATCAAGTAGGTCTAGTCTGATAGGAAGCCAGGCTTTGGCAGGTACTTATGATTTTTGTAGCCCAATTTATATTTACATTTTGTTGGAAGTATTAAAATTTGGACTTTTGTAAATGATTATTTTGGGAAGTAAATTTTTGGTTTACGCACTTTACATTTGTTTTTTATATTCTTGATGATTAGTTTGCTCTATTGTGCTTCAAATTGTGTATGATTAACTTAAAACTATAAGAAAGTAAGGTTAAATTCCTCTTTAGGTATTGAGGCATTATGTATATTGGTGTCATTAAGGAAGTTAAATATACTATCTAAAAAATGTTCATTTATAGCAAATGTGATGCCCCGAATTATAATTTGGAATAATTATTTTTTTATCTTTTAATAAATAACAATCAGAGATACATAATTTCTTTTATCAATATAAATATTAGTAAAAATAAAAATGTCGATCAAAACATCAATATATACATCTATATTTATTTCTCAAACATATACGTAGTAGGATCTATACAATCATATTAAAACTATTCGACCATGAGCAAAAAAGAATAACTAAAATAAAGCGGAATAGAACCTAAGAAATCCTGATTAATCTCACACTCCTACTATCTTGCCATGATCTTAAATCATTTAACCACATATAATGAGCTCAATGGCACAACAAGGAATTAAATCCTACAATTGAACTTAAAGCACAACAAATAAGTAATATGCATGCCTACAGTCAAATCATAGTAGTAACATTTAGATGATCTTAATTTTTTGTATAAACAGTAAAACTCATGGCAATATCAGTAGAATCTGTAAACAGTAAAATAGTACAGTATAGAATCTTAGTAAAGCAGTACGGTCTGTAAACCAATAAATCAGAATGGGTGTCGAATCGATAAAGCAGTCATCATATCAGTATTATCAATCAACAAAAAAATTATATAAAGTTGTAAAATTAAAGCATTGGTAAAAGTTTGTCAAAATTATATCAATATAGTAAAACCTTATAATAATGTACACATGATATCTAAATATTATATATTAGTATCAAATTAATATCTTAATTGCATGCTCAGTATATCACATACTCAATATGTCACACATTCATTATTAGTATAATGAATGAATAACAGTAATAGTAATAGTGAATCAATAGCAGTATACGTAACAATTTAATAATAGTATCGATGTCTGTATCGCACTAGTAAATTTTGTGGTCGTATAAGTAAAATAATGTAATAATAACAAATCCGTACAATGATAGTAAATTTAAAAAATATATATTAGTAAAGATGTACAATAATAATGAATCTGTAATATGCATTTCAATAGTCACATTAAATAAGTAAGAAGCTCTAGCTATCATGATGTTTTTTTAATAATCAATCATTACTAGTCAATACTCGTTGGCTCAATAAACAATCATCATTATTTGTCCATCAGCATAACAATAACTATTTATAACTGTCAATCATTATATCATATGAATCAGTAGAAGATAACATCCAACCACAATATTTAAAGAAAAACGTGTCAGCCCACAGTCATATATAAATCAATCAATCTCCAACAAATTAAATAGGTTAATTAGTCATTACTTATCTTTTACACAAACACACATTATTATCACGCTACTATAATAGTAATAGAGACATATCTATATTCATTACTAATATATTATAGTATATATAACATAATTATGCTTAATTCATAAAGTGTCAAAATGTCCTAACAGCAGACAACAAAAAAATCCTATTGAGCATAAATTCATAATATCAAAAATTAACCAAATTATCAAATATTATATATAATAATATTATGAATCTTTAATAGAACTAAAATACTATTTTAGCAGCAAAATAAATTTTAGAATATGTAGAAATCACAGGTTTTTCAAAACCACCCAACAAAAAATCTCAAATAAATATTCAAAACGTTTATAATATCAATATCTATAATATATTAAAAGTTATGTTTTATTAATACAAAATTATTCTCATTTTCCTGTAACAAAAATATAAATTTGATCAAAACAATATCAAATGCACAAAATCCTTAAAAAATAAAAAAGGGCAATGATTGTTTACAACGAGACGAATAAATTTTTTAATTGGATCAACTACCGAAAAATGTTTTACAGCCTCCAAATCCCAAATTCTATTTTCTCTCT